CCTCTGCATGCATGCCCCTCCCCAAGTTCACTGATAGGGGAGGACTTTTTTTCTTTCCTTCTGATCCTAGTCAATTAGGTCTCATCAGGAGTGGCTGCATTGTCTTCTTCTGTGGCCTGGTAATGCTGCTTCCCCCTCAGGGGGAGGTAATTAAGTCAGACAGTCCCTGTTTCTATTACAATGGAACCCATTTGGATACTGAACTGCCATGGGCTACATCTGTGCAGGGGTCTTGGGTTATCTCCATGCATAGTCCTTGGTTGGAATAGCAGTCTCAGGAAAGACCACTGTGCTCAGATTTTTTGGTTCTGTTGCTCTCCTTGTGGAGTTCCTGTCCTCTCCAGATCTTACTCTTTCCCACTTCTTTCCTAAGATTCCCTGCACTCTGCCCAAAGGTTGCCCATAAGTCTCAGCATCTACATTGATAGTCTGCAGGGCAGAGTTTTTCAGAGGTCCTCTCTGTCAGGCTCCTGACTTGTTCCCTCTTTTCTCCTTCTTCTGATGTCCAGCCTCTTTGCCTTTCTGGGTAGGAATTGAGCATTTTAGCAAGAGTCCTCCCTCTTGATTAGTTTCTTTAGGTGTACAGATTTTAGTAGGTTTATCCTATATTATATGTCTATATGAGTGAGTATATATACCATGTGTATCTTTCTGCTTTTGGGATAGCTCACTCAGGATGATCTTTTCCAGATCCCACCATTTATCTGCAAATTTCATGATTTCCTTGTTTTTTATTGCTGAATAATGTTCCATTGTAACTTCACTTATTATTTTCACCTGTTCAAATTTTAAACTTAGCTTAGTAAGCATTAAATTAAACAAACAAACAAAAATATATCTCAGGGACAACTGAAAAAATACATGCAGTTTTCATGTGAATCTTCTCTTATGGGAATAACATGATAAAGTTTCCACTCCTTTTTGAGAAGATCCCTAAAGCATGACATTGTATCTGTTCAGGAAATACCTCCAAGCAATGCACTTAGTAATAAACTTCAGAACATGAAGGACACAGACAGTAAAGACCAATAAGGAAACAGAGAACCAAATTTAATATGTGACAATGGTGGCTGAGTAGTTGGGAGTCACTTTCTCTTTATACATTAAACATCTTCTAGATTTAAAGCAAAGCCCAACTCCTACCTTTAGTATGGAAAGGGCAAGGCGATGTGGAATCAGATATATATGATTGCTTCCGTAGTATTTCCTTCATAGCTGTCAAATAACACCAGTCACATTCTGCAATTTGTTGTAAGAAAGTAAATCTTCTACATAGGCATGAAAACTGAAAATGCCATGCCAAGTGAGATAATTCTTACACCACAGTCATAGAAATGGCATTCTTTTGGTATCTACTTAGGGTAATTTTCCCTTATAAATCATGAACTACAACAAAAGATTTGATAAAAAAGAATACAAAACTCAGTGAATTTGAACTTCACAAAACCAACAATATAGCAGTCAAATGGTGGGAACTAGAAAAGAACATCCTGAGTGAGGTATCCCAGAAGCAGAAAGACACACATGTTATATACTGTCATTTAAGTGGATATTAGACATATAATATAAGATAATCATACTAAAATCTGTACACCTAAAGAAGCTAAGCAAGAAGGAGGACCCTAGGTAAGATGATCAATCCTCACTCAGAAAGACAAACAGAATAGACATCGGAAGATGGAGAAAACAGGACTCAGGACAGGAGCATACCACACAGGGCCTCTGAAAGACTCTACCCAGCAGGGTGTCAAAGCAGATGCTGAGACTCATAGCCAAACTTAGGGTAGAGAGTGGGAAATTTTATGAAAGAAGGGAGTGATGAATGACCTGGAGGGAACAGGATCTCCACAAGGAGAGCAACAGAACCAAAAAATATGGGCACAAGGGTCTTGTCTGAGACTGATACTCTAACCAAGGACCATGCATAGATATAACCTGTAACCCCTGCACAGATAAGCCCATGGAAGCTCATTCTCCAAGTGGGTTTCCTAGTAAGGGGAACAGAAACTGTTTCTGACATGAACTCAGGGGCTGCCTCTTTTTTAACCTCCCCTTTGAGGTGGGGAGGCAGCCTTACCAGGCCACAGAGGAAGACAATGCAGCCAGTCCTGATGAGACTTGATAGGCTAGGATCAGATGGAAGGGGAGGAGGACCTCCCCTATCAGTGGACTTGTGGAGGGGTAAGGGAGGAGAAGAGGGAGGGAGGGCGGGTGGGACTTGGAGAGAATGAAGGGAATGGGATACAAAGTGAATAAATTGTAATAAATTAAAAATAAATAAATTAAAAAATACTACCAAAATGAGAAAATTGAAAGGAATAAATAGAGCAGTACTTTCTTTTGGAAAGTTTTAAAATACCTAATGAGTACCTATGAGCCAAATATGGAAAATTCAATAAATTCTCAGGAATGAATTTGTAAACAATGTTAGTAATTGGGCATCATCCTGAACATGTATGCTGGGTGGATGAAAAATATATTTGCCTTGATTTTGTCATGTGAAAGAAGGGGGAGTTAGTATGACTTGTGAAGGATAGGAGCTCCACAAGGATCAAATATATCTTGGCACAGGGGTCTTTTCTGAGACTGATACTCCACCAACGATCATGTGGATATAACCTAGAACCTCTGCTCAGATGTAGCCCATGGTAGCTCAGTAACCAATTGGTTTCCCGTAGTAAGGGGAACAAGGACTATTTCTGACAGGAACTCAATGGCAGGCTCTTTGACCTCCCCACTCCCCAAAAGTGAGGAGTAGTCCTGCTAGGCCACAAAGGAGGACTTTGCAGCCATTCCTGAAGATGCCTGATAAAACAGGGTCAGATGAAAGGGGAGGAGGTCCTCCCCTATCAGTGGACTTGGAAAGGGGCAGTGAGGAGATGAGGGAGGGAGGGAGGGATTGGGAAGGAATGAGGGATTGGGATACAGCTGGGACACAGAGTTAATAATATGTAACTAATAATAAAAAAATAAAATAAAAAATAGAAAAAAGTAGGTAGAGGTTTCTTAACTGGGTGGATAATCTCAAAAATAGGAATATAAATACAAACAAAAGTAAAAGCAAACATTTTTGTTTAGGTTTTTAACAATATATGTTAAACTACTGTATTTATTATTTAAAATTTCAGCCTTGCAGAACTTCTCATCACACAGTGATTGCGGTTTTGTGAATATAGAATGGGATAATATTTGGTGTGTGCATGTGTGTGTGATTTATCCACCTTCTTAACAGTTAAAAGGGTTAGATATTTCACTTATTTCAATTAGTAACCTCCTCATTTTACCTGTGACTTTTCTTTCTGTTTTTGAATATGCTGAAAATATGAGCTCTTAATAGCTGATAGAAAATATTAATAAATAATAATTTTAATCATCACATAGTATCATTTTAAGACATAAATCCAATAGAGAAATAGCTTGTAGTTTGTCTTGTTCACATGGCTGTATCTTTTGTGTAGTGTTCGTGTTTCTGAACATAGATATGTTAAAAGTGACTGCACTCTTCCTCATTGTGTACTATATTCTTAAAACTTTAAGCTTCACAATTAATGTTTAAGCTTTAAATCGTGAAACAGGCTCTGTAAAAATTAGTAACTAAACCTCATATTTGTTGTCCTGATGTTAGTCTTTGCAAATGGATTTGTCCTTCTTATGTGAGATAGCAACTTTACACTTCAGATTGTTTTGTTTTAATGAAATGTTTCTATAAAATACAGTTTATTGGCTTTAAACAAACAAACAAAATCTTCATGCTAATAGAAGGAATTGGAAAAGTACTAATGAGTTTGAAAATAAATGGTACTTTGAGTCAGCAACCAGTTCTTTCATTATTTGCTTGATATTTTGAAAAATTTTAAATATGGAATATGGAAATGGATATATGAACGTTTAAACATTAATAACAGATATCGCATGTCTTAAGATTTCAGTTAAGCAGAAATGTTTCTGTTTTCCTGGACTGTGCCTGAGCGTATAATGCAAAGAGGAGCACACAGAACTAGTCCTTCACAGCTGCTGAAGCACCATAATTAGGCAAAAGGGGACTATTTGCTTCCTTCTTGTCTGAACAGAATGTACAAAGTACAACAGTAAACTATCCACACAGCTTCCATGCTTTCCCAAATTCTCTATTCCATAGAGAGTCCATAGGGTCTGTAGTGTCAAGGTCCAATTCCCTCACAAAGAATAAAAACAAAGTCATACAAGTACGTAAGAGATCTGAATAAAAATAGTCTCTCCCCTTATAAGCATTAGGATGGATAAATAGATAGATAATGATGATAAATAGATAGACAGATAGATAGATGATAGGTGAAAAATATTAATCAAAGAAAATGCTAGTGAAATAATGTTTTTTTTATTTTAAATAAATGTGAACTATTTAAGGGGAGTTTTAGAAATATTGTCCAAGAGTTCACTCATCCATAGGAACTTATAATACATCCCTGAAAATATCTTTCAATATTAGGATTGTCAGCCAAGAATTAATGAATATTTTATGTTCACCTTTTTGCCATATTTATTGTTAAGAAAAATAGGAGGAAAAAAACATTTCCCATTTTATCGTAGTAGGTATACACCTCATAAACTCTCAGAATTAAATTAATTTATATCTTTTGGGAAATTAGGAATTTATAATGAAAAAATACTATCTTTGCTTATAGTCTGTGTCTGTGATATGAGAGATGTTTACAGTAGGCTTTGGGAGTTTTCCAAAGAGTGAAGAAAAGTAAGAGACAGCTGGAGAAGTTGCTATATAATATGCTCATCTCTTTCTATAAATGTACATTCTGCACACATCACCACTGTCTACGTCATTGTACATTACAGCATACTTGATCTGTTATTTGTTGAGTCAAATAAACAAATATTAATATGTGGTATGTATCTTCTGAAAGCAATTTTATAGTGACACATCTGTATTCTTTTCATTTCATAGTTTAACTTTTTATTATAGAGCAATTATAAAAATCTTATTCTTTAATTATTTTGCTCTATGATACTCAACATTTCTACAAGAAGAGTAAAAGCTTCTTCTTACATATTTTAATTTTTAAAGAATACGAATACATAAAAATACACCAAAATCAGAGCCCCAATAGAAAATTCTGAAACACATGATTGGAAGATTTAACCTTTCTGAACGTCATTAGAATCAAATATGTTTTTCATGACTGAAATGAAAAATTTCAACTCTATTAGTTCAAAGAATAACAATCATGATAAGTTTTCTACTTTTTCTGCCATGAAACAAAACAAAAATAACTAACAAAAGTAATGTCATCAACATAATCACAGCACTTCGTTGAAGATATAAATGGACCTTTCCTGTTGACCTGTGGAAAATTATTTAAAACTGTTTTTACATATGTACATATTTATAATGACGTGATGAATAATAAGACAGTAAAAGAGTGGGGTGGAAGTATAAGCTATTCACTTTAAAGACATATTTTACTGTTATCTTTATGTAGGATGCTGGGGTATATGCACATATGTATGGTGCCCATGGAATCCTGAAGAGAGTGTCAGATCTCCTGGAGCCTAGTCACAGGCACTTTTGAGGCACTGTGGGTGCTGGGAATTGAAATCAAGTCCTTTGCAGAAAAAATACATGCTGTCAAGCTCTGAGCTCTCTTTAGCCAGAAACTGTTCTGAAAACTCTGGCCACATACACCACGGAAAGCATCTTACCAAATACCACATTCCCTCCTGCCCTGCCTCACATCTCCCTCAGCTTGTGGATACAAGAGCCTTTGCTCTACGCAAGCATTTAAGAAACCAGAGTATCTTTTACTTTTGTTGGATGGATGGTATTCAGGTTTAAAAATTATCTAGATGGTAAGGAAGTAGTTACTGGAAGGGAATTAACAAAATAACATTTATTTTCTCACGAAATAATTTTATTAAGGTTTATGGATTACTCTCCATGAGGAAAGTTGTAATGTCAAGGTTGTCTTCGTGGTGAATTCTGCTGGTAAGATGCAGCTATGACCCTGGTATTAATACAGTCATGCAAAGCACATAGTAGAATCACACTAGAAAAGAAAATTAAAAAATCGAATGAGGCAAAGAAACACTACTAGGTTTTTTTGAGAGTTTGCTTATTTCCAGAATATGCCCCTTTATTGATTTTGTGAGCGGACCTGTTTTGCACTATACTCAAATACTGTACAAAATTGAAAGGAATGCCACTATTTGACTACTTAGGTTTCTACCAAAACATCATTGTGAATTTGCGTTTAATTTTAAAAGTCAACTAATAACTGCTAATGTACATGTCAGTCAAAGGTGAATTTAGTATCAACACAACACAGTTAACTTCAGCATCTTTCAGGGGCATAAATAGTAACTTTAAATATTAAAAGAAAATTAATTTTACCCACTAACCATCAGTAATTTTATAAAATTGAAAATCTTGTTTTCTAATTTAGCTACGTGGTGTGTGTGGTGTGTGTGTGTATGTGGTGTGTGTGTCAGTGTATGTATGCTGTGTGTGTAGGGGGGGTATTAAGTGTATGTGTGTGTGTGTGTGTGTGTGTGTGTGTGACATGATCCACAATCTGTTGATGATGTGATGTCTTAAAGTTGTGGTTTAAAAATGTTCAACTCTTACCAAAACCACTTCTGGTATACAAAGCTGCTGTAAATTCGAGTCAATGAAATTTAAAGTTGCAATTTACAAAAGCAGATTTACATCAATTCTTATCTGAAAGAGCTGCTTTCTGAACAGAAAAATGTGCCAACTAACTGCCCTTTCCTTTATAATTAGTGGCTTCTCAGTCTTGATGAGAAGAAGCCTTAAGGCAGAATTTACAGTAAACAGGAAAGAAGAGAATCATATAAGTGCTCATCAGTACCTGGGACACCTATGAATTCTCATCGCTTGGAGTTTTTGGCACAGCTTTCTAATCTGTTATGAATGAACTTTGCTCCATTGCAGCCAAGATGGTTGCTTTCTTCCATTCTCCAGCACCAGAAAAATTCAGCTGACAACACATACCTGGAAAGACTAACTCCATGTATCTTTTTTTTTTTTTTTTTGAATGTTAGGTAGTTTCCAATGATTCAAGTGAGCTGTAAGGTTAAGTTACTACTTTCAAATAAACTCTGAAGCTAAAAATACAATGACCATGACATTCCAATATTTATTAAATTTAAGCATAATTAACATCCTGTCCTGGTGACTCATAGTTATTTGAGCTTGTCATGCTTGTAATATGTACATTGCTATAGGTATTCTACATAGTAATTAAAAGCTGTTCTCACACCTCTAGCTTTCCCTTTATTTGTGTCAAGCTTTCAATTACATCAGCAGGGGTTCTGAATAGTCCTGAAGGGAGTAGACAAGTGGTTCACCTTTTCTCATATTTGAGTGACAATATTAATCTCCAATCATAGTTAGGTAACAGTAGAAATGTTTTTCTAGGTAATATCTAAATCAAAGTTTCCCGAAAGGGCAACATATTATTCCAACTTTCATCATAATAAGAACATTAGGAAATCGTGTCATCTGAAATCCACTTTAAACTAGGTCCTACGGTAAATCTTTTTTAAAAGGCAATGGTTCATTTGGCACGGGATGTTTTCTGACTGTATTTTCATGAGTTAGCAAGTGCAGGTGTCCTTTAGAGGTAAGGTAAGCTCTATGACTATATACATACTGTACATATTGGGTCATAAATTAGCAGTTATTAGTCAGACTGTACAGAGCAGGGGAAAAAAACCCAAAAAACAAAACAACAACAACAAAAACAAGTGGGTTGTTTCTATATAGCCCAATGGTAAGCAATGTCTAGACTCATGGACTGACCCCTAATACAGGCTCCCTGTTTAAATAGGTAGCCCAATAAACTAAATTGAATGTACCAAACAGAACTGGAAAAACTATTCTAGACATTCTGTCAATTTTGCTGACACTGTTGAAGGTTTTCTTGGCTTCAGCCGGCTTGTTTTCTGGCTTCTTGTTGGGTTCTGGTGTCGTTGCACTTTTTGAAATAGTGGAGAGAACAGGATCTTTGGAAAGATTTGGGGCATAGTTGGCAACAGCTACCGCATAGGCATTGTTCTGTATCATGACGGAGCCTTTCTCTTTTTTCTATTGGAAAATAGAAAAATTAATTGAGTGTGGGTTTAGCCTGTTTCTTGAAAATTTCCAAACTACCGTTCTAATTCTAGAAAAAAAAATATTACTCAAATATGCATTGTTACTAGAGAAGAAAAATTAAGGAAAGTAAACAAAGCAAGTTCAATAAATCCTAAAAACATGAATGAGAAAATTCATGTAGTACAATTCAGGCACATTTTACCAGGGAATGAATTTCTACTGTTAACATAGAAAATGAGCAGTAATAAAAGTAATATAAAGATTTAATAATAGTTTCACTGTTAAAAGTCATTCACACATTTTTAATTAATGAGCAAATAAATACGTAAAATGCGAGGATTTAAAGAAGAGTTATGATGATCAACAATGAATGACCTTAAATAGTTTCAGTGAGCAGTAATCAACCTACCTTATGATAAACTTAGGAGTCAACACATTATGACTGCAAGAAATTGTCACTTTATGTAGATGGATGGCTACAAACCTCTAAACCTCCACTACGATAAAAAAGATATGAATCCCATCTTTTCGGCTTCCCTCAGACCACCACTCGTTTTCTGTTGTATTAATAAAGAATCCCCATTTCAGGACTCAGCAGTTCTTGCCTCAGTGACTATCACTTGCTCCAAATAATTTCCCTTTGTGCTCTTCTGGCTTGGCCTAACCCTGCCCAGCCATTAGACACTATGGCTAAGGGGAGAGCCATAGGAACCAAATTAGACACATTAGAACACGCCACACTTAAGTGTAAATCTCTGCAACAGTAGCTCATGGAGCCTAGAATACAAACGGCATTTTGTGAAGCACTCCATCTCTGTATTCACTACATAGCAACACCCTAAGGTACCTTGGGGTACCCCATATTAGCTTTATCTGTACTCACCCAATTTTCCACATGATTAGTTTGCTTTCATATTTCACCATGAATGTGAATGTAATTTCTGTGGAATACCTTGCTTACACATTGACCCTAAAATAATTTTTTCCCCACATAGTCAGTCTCAGAATACTCCAATTTGTTTCTATCGCAGGACGTATTAAAGTATATAAGTGCTTTCTTTGCCATATGATTATTTAACTGAGGTATTCTATTCTTAGTAAGATGTAAATACAGTGAGGTTTGATGGTGTCTCTGTCTTGTTGATCTTTGTAACCTCAGCACCTGCCATGAAACTTTCTCATAAATATCTTTCATGAGCTAGACATAACATACATATAGTAAATGGAATGTGAAAATACAAATATTATTTATCTGTTTATTCAAAGCTAAGTATATTGTAATATACCTACATGACAAAAAAATGAGCCAACAATGAGCTACACAAAAAGTATAAAGCGATTTCCAAGTTAACCTCATGCTATTAGTTTAAGAACAGGGTCTACTATGGAGGTTTTAAAGCATGGCCTGTACTCCTCTCTGTGAAAGAGCTGAAAAAAATTACAGCAGTTAGCGATGTCATGCTTCCAAACAGCAGCAATGATTTTCTGTCTGAAAGTTTGTTTAAAGTTTTGAATTGGAGTTTTTTCCCCCTAACATACTTTGATGATGATTATGTCATTATGACTACTTCCAAAAAGTTCAATAATCCAGAAAATGCACAACACACACTGAATCTGTTGTTATTTAAATATATATCTAAACCCCATTTTAAAATAAAAATCAGATTGAGCTTAAAGAGAATGAAATCCTCGAGTAAAACTTTTGGCCACTCTCTCTGTCAGCTTCCTAATTGATAAAAGGGAGAGATTATGACTTTTTTAAAAAGCTATACAGACTTGCTGTAACAAACAGATGAATTACCATATCCCATACTAACATTATGAAAGTATTTTCTCCAAGAGAAGTAGACTTAAAATTGTGACTATAATAACCTAGGCCAGTGGGTCTCGACCTTCCTCATGCTGTGACCTTTAATGTAATGTCTCAAGTTGTGGTGACCACCAATGACAAAACTATTTTCTTTGCTATTTCATAACTGTGATTTTGTTACTGTTGTGGATCATAATGTAAACACCTGTGTTTTCCAAAAGTCTTGGTGATCACCATGAAAGGAGCATTCAATGCCCCCCAAAAGGGGCCCTGACCCACAGGTTGAGAACTACTTATCTAGAAAAATGATCAACAGTAAAAAGAATGTGTAGCCTATATAACGAACATACTATGTATTTAGGGAAGACTACAAAAACATTGAATGGAAAAGCTTAGGGAGAGTTACATGAAATTAGAGCATTAAACTTAGATTAGAAATTATGGTATAGAAGTTCAGACAGTTAATGATATATTTTGTTGCAGTGTTTACAGATGGAAAAAATACTTTATTTTTACCAATGATCTTTCTGCACTGCACATTACTACGTTTCACTTTTAAATACTACCTTTCACTTTTCAATTTACTAGTGACATCATTAATGAATGGAAAAAAAATGTGTACAATGTACACCAATGGCAAATTAAAAAATTAAACTTAAAAAAGTGAATCTTTTTCTTCATTCTAGAAAATATGGCTTTAATATTTAATATTTTAAAGATATTAGTATTTAAAGATGAGTACACAATTCAGTGGAGGTCTACGTGTGAAATGAATGGTTGCCTTGACTTCAAAACACTCCCTGGGAAGTTAGAAACTGTACTGTCTTCAGACAGCCATGCATCCTGCAGTCTCAGGAGCCTACTCTGGGCAGGCAACTGCTAGCAAGTTCACTGAATGATGTGCAGAGCATCCATATGGTGTCATGTCTGCTCTAAGAGTAGCCCCAGCCTGCTACTGCACTCCTGACTGTTATTTTTGCAAAGCCTTGTTTAATGGGAGCACTGTCCTCTCGCTACCATCCCAGCTGTTCTTCTTTTCTAAAATTAAATGCATGGAGAGAAAGAGGTTCCTGAGTCCATAGCAGACTTAAAACATAGAGGTGCTTTAGTGAAATGAAATACTCACTGGCCAGGAGAACTCTTAATGGATAGCTAGCTTCTTCCATGGTTTTGAAAGGTGCTATACACAGACCGGTGCAGGAGGAAAGACCTGACATGTCTCATCCAGCTTGTCCCTTATATGTTACAATACTCACTTGCAGACAAAATGGTGTAACGGTAACCAAACACTTTCTGATAGGGTCTGAAACATGATCTGCAAGAGGGAATTCTTCCTTCAAATTTAAACTGAGGGATAGGTGAAGACTTCAAAGCTCCCAGGGAGGAATGTGCTACTGTTACTTAAATTAAAAAATATATATGTACCATCAAATTGCCTCCTAAATTTATACGTTGATGCCCGTAATTGTGTGCTGCTTTCAACATTAGCATTACTCCATTTTGTAGTGGACAATGATTAGTGCAGAGACTCATAATTGGTCAAGATGCTAAGAATAAGTGAACATGAGTGCTGATCCATAAATAGGATATCTATATCAACTGTCCCTTCCAGGGCTCAGAGAGAAATCACAGAAGAGGGAAAAGGAAAAAAGAAAGAAAGAAAGAAAGAAAGAAAGAAAGAAAGAAAGAAAGAAAGAAAGAAGGAAGGAAGGAAGGAAGGAAGGAAGGAAGGAAGGAAGGAAGGAAGGAAGGAAGGAAGGAAGGAAGGAAAGAAAGGAAAGGAAAGGAAAGGAAAGGAAAGGAAAGGAAAGGAAAGGAAAGGAAAGGAAAGGAAAGAAAAGAAAAGAAAAGAAAAGAAAAGAAAAGAAAAGAAAAGGAAAGAAAAGAAAAGAAAAGTATGAGCCCCTGGATGGAGAGCAGTCCTGTGAAGGGCTGATTTTAACATGTGACTTGACTTTGCACTCGGGACAAACAGCACCTGGGGTTCCCTGCAGAAGGTTTGCACATAACTAAGGCAGTCAGATTCCATCATGAATGGGGAAAGAGCTTGTTAGGCTCCAATCTAGCTGAGGCGCTCCTGGCAGTTGGTGGTCATGAAGAAGGGAGAACTGTGTTTTTTCGAGGATGTGGCCACTGCGAGGTTGCTCATGCTCTTGCGCATAACCCCAATGCCCACGCACATAGGATAGCAACAACTTAACTTGGAAGAATAAAAATAAGAATTTTTTAGGAGGACATAAAATGTGTGTGTGGGGGGATGCGAGGGCATTTCTAGTGGGAGTTGCTGGGGGGATAAAGAATGGATATGATCAATGAGACTGTATGGAGAAGATCTAAAACCCCTGCTCAGATGTAGCCCACAGACTCAGTTTCCAAGTGGCTTCCCTAGTAAGGCGAGCAGAGGTTTTCTCTGGCATGAACTCAGTGACAGGTTCTCTGACCATGTTCCCCTGGGGGTTCAGCCTTGTCAGGCCACAGAGGAAGACAATGCAACCAGTCCTGATGAGACCTGATAGGCGAGGGTCAGATAGATGGGAAGGAGGATCTCCCCTATCAGTGGACTAGCGGAGGAGCATAGGGGCAAAAGAGGGAAGAAGGATGGGACTGGGAGGAGACCAGGGAGGGGTCTATAGCCAGGATAAAAATTGAATAAATTGTATTAAATGATAATAATAAAAAAGAAAAAAAGAGAAAGGATATAATCAAACACATATTACACATGTGTGTGATTTTCTTAAAGAAGTAATAAAAACATTATGGAATTATTTTGAAAGCAGAATATATGTGTATGTTTCTGTGTATGTATGTATATGTTATATACAGCATTCTTTTTCATATTTTTAAGAAATAAATCTGTCAGCCATTTTACCAAAAACATCCATCTTCTAAACCATTAACAGAAGCTTTTGCTTAGGTCTGTTCAATACTGACTACTATTAACAAGAATACAGCTGAGAGACACTTTATTACAAAAAGATATTAGAATATTATTAAGGAGTGAATCAAGACAGACCACAGTGCCATGTTTCAGGAGACACTGACCTCTTCTAGCTATGCTTTCTTGGTGCTTAATCATTTACAAACTTGAAGAGATACTATCAAATAAGACCTCTTTGCTAACTATTCTGAAAAGAACTCATTGCCATGAAGACATTTTGTGATGTTTCTATATTGTTTTGAC